CTTCAACATTAAAATGGTATTTATGTTGTATCCGGTCATGGGTTTAATTTATATGTCCCTTTTAAACTCCTCTAAAAGCTTTTTCAATTAAACATTAGAAAGTGTACAAATATGAAAATTAATATCAAAGAAAAACTTTTGATAATAAAAGATATATAATTACAACATTTTAATGATTAAATGATTATGTATTGTAAATGTTTATTTGTCCATATGTAGTGTCTTTCTTTGGCGGAATCCTGACTTCTGAGCAGATTGAAGCTACACTTATACAACAACAACAGCAAGGTTTGTTGGGTGATTATTCCCACAAACTTCCAGACCCAGAGTGTCTTATGTTTAGTTAGAACATTAAATGATTTAGTTTAAATAGATTCTGAAATTCACTTTAATTACAAAAGTTCAACCATTTATTAGTTTAAGCATGAAGTTCCCATTATTTTTGTTCATTTTAAAAGATATTTATTTACCTTTCCATGAAACCTTTAATAATTTGTATCATTTAAAGATTATCCAACTAAACTTAAGGAAATTTCATTAAAGCATTACAGAAGAAATTTTCTTCAGAAATCTTTTTTTGCTCTTTATATGTGTTATTTCAATTTTTTTTTATTTGATATTTTTTTATGATTTAAAACTAATTTTGAAATTCCTGTTGATCTAACTATTTGAATAGAATTAACAAATATTTTTATCACCTAGATTTTTTTCTCATGAATGAGACTTTAAAAAATTGCAAGATAAAATTTTACACAATCTTTTTTTTTCACCATCTCCTTGCAGCCTCTGAAATTCTCATCCAAAGAAACCCTCCCCCTTCCCAATATATAGTTGAGCATGATATGCAGGAAGTACAATTTTGCAGTGATAGTAAAAGACCTTGACATGACAGTGATGTTAGCTTTAGATAATTTTGAGGGGAAAACAGAGGAAAGGAGTATTGAAATATATTTTCATAGCCAAACATAGTTCCATTAGACTATTTTTCTAAAAGTACAGACATTGCTAGTCTATTCCTTACATACCATTTCACAGATCATTTAGGGGTCAGTTATCATATTTTGTTTGGAATTAAAATCCTATTCTCAAGGAAAGCCACAATTTTCATAAAATCTTAATCAAACCCAAGGAATTATTATAGCAGTATAGATATTCCTACATTACAAAATCAAGATAAAGCCATTCTCTCCACAACCAGAACGACTCCTTTATAAAGTTATCTTTGTGCTTATTTCCAGGTACTAGTCCATTTGATATGACAGCCTCAGTAACCAATCCATCTGGAATCACAGAATTATGTGACATTGTTAGTTTAGATGATAATCACTATAGTATCAAATTTGTTCCCAAGGAGATGGGTGTCCATACAGTTAGTGTTAAACATAAGGATATGCATATCCCTGGTAAGTTATTTTATGTTAGGATTGTAATATGGATTTGGATTTGATAAATTGACCAATTCTTGTCAGTATCCATAATTATATAAACCATTGACACTGTTAATATGTAAATTAATGAATTTAAGATAAGATGTGAAATTGAAAAATACCAACAAGCAGACAGTCTGTGTATTGTACTGAAAGTTTCCTTTGTTTTTGGTTGTCACGATTTATTGGCGAAAAAATATGGAAATATCACCAGGAAAGACAAACAAAAGAAATTTAGTAGACATGAGAGAAAAAGCCATTTCCATACAGTAGTGTATGTGTATAGTTAATGACTTTTGATCACATTTTAGGTAGTCCATTTGAGTTCACAGTAGGTCCCATTGCTGGTGGTGGATCACACAAGGTACATGCTGCCGGACCTGGTCTTGAAAGAGGAGAGGTTGATCAACCATGTAAGTAACACATTCTTCTTGTAATAGTTATCTGCAATTCTTGAATTATGTTTTGCATAATCATTATTTATAATTACATGTAAATTGAAGGAAATAGTAGTAAACTTTTTCTTAGTGCAAAATAAAATATATTTCAAACTTACTTAGATATAAGAAGATGTGGTATGAGTGCCAATGAGACAACTCTCCATCCAAGTAAAAATTTATAAAAGTAAACCATTATAGGTAACAGTACGGTCTTCAACACGGAGCCTTGGCTCACACCGAACAGTAAGCTATAAAGGGCCCCAAAAATTACTAGTGTAAAACCATTCAAACGGGAAAACCAACGGTCTAATCTATATAAAAAACGAGAAACGAGAAACACTTATGAACCACATCAACAAACGACAACTACTGAACATCAGATTCCTGACTTAGGACAGGTGCAAACAAATGCAGCGGGTTTAAACGTTTTAATGGTACCAAACCTTCACCCTTTTTCTGAAACAATAGTGTAACATCACAACATAGAAAGACACACTATAAAATATCAACTGAAATAGCTTAACTCAATCAAAGGACATATTAACACCATTGAACATACACTGAACAAATAAATTTGACCTATGACACAATGTAAATACAAAATAAATAAACTAAGGGAAGAATAATAAAAGTAACATGTTATATCGGTAAGAAATGTTAAACAATTAAAGAAAAACAATATGCTCGAACAAAAATACCATCCATTTGCAATAACTTTAAACACAGGTAAATGAAAATAATTTTGTTGTTAGGTATACCTGTACAGTACCAATAGAGAAGGGAAATATTTTTACAAAATAAATAATTTTGAATACAAAATAAATAAACTAAGGGAAGAATAATAAAAGTAACATGTTATATCGGTAAGAAATGTTAAACAATTAAAGAAAAACAATATGCTCGAACAAAAATACCATCCATTTGCAATAACTTTAAACACAGGTAAATGAAAATAATTTTGTTGTTAGGTATGCGTGTACAGTACCAATAGAGAAAGGAAATATTATTACAAAATAAATAATTTTGATGTTCATAGTACAAAGTGAAAATTTTTAGTTATACCAAACACTTATCAAAGCTGGTATATAGACCAGATATAACCCTGAATAACATTAAATAACAAAAAAGCAATACAATTAGTATCAACAGGTCAAATAAACAAGAAAGTACGATTTGAGAGTACTCGCAGTTACTGACAGCTAGTTAAAAGCCAAAACAATTAATAATAAAAAATCATGCATCAGAGACTAAAATCAACTAAAACACATCCCAGGGATTTAGTATTTTAACGTCATGGACAGTAGTGCATATTTTGTAAGAGTTGAAATCTCTTTAAATATGACAACCACATAAAAACATATCAATATTAGTGTTATTTTTATATCATTTCAAAAAATTTTGTCAAATTGTTTACAGGTGACTTTAACATTTACACACGTGAAGCTGGAGCTGGTGGTCTGTCCATTGCGGTAGAAGGACCATCTAAAGCAGAACTTGACTTTGATGATAGAAAAGATGGATCATGTGGTGTTACATACAGGGTTACAGAACCAGGAGAATATTTAGTGTCAATCAAATTTAATGATGAACATATCCCAGATTCTCCATTCAAAGTAGACATATGTCCAAGTATCGGAGATGCTCGTAAAATATCTGTTAGTGCTTTACAACAGAAGGGATTACAAGTGGGAAAACCAGCTGCCTTTGTTGTAAACTTTAATGATGCTCAAAAGGGAAAACTGAAGGCTAAAGTAGTAGCTCCCTCTGGAACAGAAGAAGAAGCCATAATTCAAGAAATCGATGATGGTAAGTAGAATGATACCATTTAACAAAAAATACCATTGTGCTGTTGAACTGAATAAATATCTCTATAAAAAAACTTGTGCAAATAAGGATTTAATTCAGCTATTTTTTTAAACTTTGAATTACAGGAATATATTTGTGAAACTGTAAATTATTAGTAGATTTTATTTCATGTCATAGAAAACTTAATTTCATTTCTAAGTGCTGATGTGTTGATATGATATTTTAGGTCAGTATGCTGTTAGATTTATCCCCAGAGAGAATGGAGGTCACAATGTTCATGTATTCTTCAATGATTGTGAGATTCCAGAAAGTCCATTCCGTATTATGGTAGGAAAAGTAGACTGTGATCCAGGAATGGTTCATGCTTCAGGAGATGGTCTTAGGACAGGACACACAGGTTAGTCTATAATGTAAATAGAGGTGTGGTACAAAGAGAGAAATTAAAACAAGGCTGCTTAGTACTTCATAGTCTTTTAAGAGATATGAAATAATACTGCTTTATTTATAGTTTCTGCAAAACAATCGTCTTGTTGTACTTGAATTTTCTTGCATTTATCTTACGACTTCCATTTGATGATCTTTTATTTAGCATTTGAAAATGTTAGTGTAAAACAATATGAACATTTGTAGACTTCAAAACTTGTTGAAATGTAAAAAAAAATGATGTGCTCTTGCATGCATGTTTTGAAAATGCATAATATAATCAAAAGGATTTCAAAATTGATAACTTTCCCATTTTACAGAAAATTAAAAATTTGTTTTTTTGTAGGTCAACCAGCTAAGTTCTTGGTCAACACAGTAAATGCTGGACCTGGTGCACTTGGTGTCACAGTTGAAGGTCCATCAAAGGTCAAATTAGAATGTGCTGAAAAAGATGAGGGATATGAATTCACATACACCCCAACAGCTCCTGGAGACTACTTAATTACTATACGATATGCTGGTGTACATATTGCTGGTAGTCCATTCAAAGCCAGAATAGAAGGTATGAAAAATTAACATTGACACAAAGATATTTATTGTTTGAAATAATTATTTAAGCTCTTCCCATGTATTGTATATTTGCCAGAGAATTTTTATATATCTTGTAATGTTAAATGTGATCTTACATTAGAAACTTTTTTCAAGACTGTGTTACAAGTTTTTGTGGGTAGAAAGACAACTTTCATTTTTGTATGCAATAAGGAGATGTGGAATGCCTAAGCGACAACTATCCACCAAAGATTAAATGATGTAGATGTTTAATAATAGAAACTATAGGTCACTGTATAGCCTTCAACATTGAGCAAAACCCATATTGCATAGCAAGCTATAAAAGGCCCCAACATGACTCAATCTAAATAATTACAAACAAGAAAACCAATGGCCTGATTTATAACATGTGACAACCACATCATAACAGTCTCCTGACTTGGGACAGGCACTTACAGAGTTTGTATGAATTATATCATACTTAAAGTGTAATGTACATTATTACGTTGACAGAAGTTGTATGAATTATATCATACTTAAAGTATAATGTACATTATTACGTTGACAGAAGTTGTATGAATTATATCATACTTAAAGTATAATGTACATTATTACCTTGACAGAAGTTGTATGAATTATATCATACTTAAAGTGTAATGTACATTATTACCTTGACAGAAGTTGTATGAATTATATCATACTTAAAGTGTAATGTACATTATTACCTTGACAGAAGTTGTATGAATTATATCATACTTAAAGTATAATGTACATTATTACGTTGACAGAAGTTGTATGAATTATATCATACTTAAAGTATAATGTACATTATTACCTTGACAATGTACATTATTACGTTGACAGAAGTTGTATGAATTATATCATACTTAAAGTATAATGTACATTATTACCTTGACAGAAGTTGTATGAATTATATCATACTTAAAGTATAATGTACATTATTACGTTGACAGAAGTTGTATGAATTATATCATACTTAAAGTATAATGTACATTATTACCTTGACAGAAGTTGTTTGAATTATATCATACTTAAAGTATAATGTACATTATTACCTTGACAGAAGTTGTTTGAATTATATCATACTTAAAGTATAATGTACATTATTACGTTGACAGAAGTTGTATGAATTATATCATACTTAAAGTATAATGTACATTATTACCTTGACAATGTACATTATTACGTTGACAGAAGTTGTATGAATTATATCATACTTAAAGTGTAATGTACATTATTACCTTGACAGAAGTTGTATGAATTATATCATACTTAAAGTATAATGTACATTATTACCTTGACAGAAGTTGTATGAATTATATCATACTTAAAGTATAATGTACATTATTACCTTGACAGAAGTTGTATGAATTATATCATACTTAAAGTGTAATGTACATTATTACCTTGACAGAAGTTGTATGAATTATATCATACTTAAAGTATAATGTACATTATTACCTTGACAGAAGTTGTATGAATTATATCATACTTAAAGTATAATGTACATTATTACCTTGACAGAAGTTGTATGAATTATATCATACTTAAAGTGTAATGTACATTATTACCTTGACAGAAGTTGTATGAATTATATCATACTTAAAGTGTAATGTACATTATTACCTTGACAATGTACATTATTACCTTGACAGAAGTTGTATGAATTATATCATACTTAAAGTGTAATGTACATTATTACCTTGACAATGTACATTATTACCTTGACAGAAGTTGTATGAATTATATCATACTTAAAGTGTAATGTACATTATTACCTTGACAGAAGTTGTATGAATTATATCATACTTAAAGTATAATGTACATTATTACCTTGACAGAAGTTGTATGAATTATATCATACTTAAAGTGTAATGTACATTATTACCTTGACAATGTACATTATTACCTTGACAGAAGTTGTATGAATTATATCATACTTAAAGTGTAATGTACATTATTACCTTGACAGAAGTTGTATGAATTATATCATACTTAAAGTGTAATGTACATTATTACCTTGACAGAAGTTGTATGAATTATATCATACTTAAAGTGTAATGTACATTATTACCTTGACAGAAGTTGTATGAATTATATCATACTTAAAGTGTAATGTACATTATTACCTTGACAATGTACATTATTACCTTGACAGAAGTTGTATGAATTATATCATACTTAAAGTGTAATGTACATTATTACCTTGACAGAAGTTGTATGAATTATATCATACTTAAAGTGTAATGTACATTATTACCTTGACAGAAGTTGTATGAATTATATCATACTTAAAGTGTAATGTACATTATTACCTTGACAGAAGTTGTATGAATTATATCATACTTAAAGTATAATGTACATTATTACCTTGACAGAAGTTGTATGAATTATATCATACTTAAAGTGTAATGTACATTATTACCTTGACAATGTACATTATTACCTTGACAGAAGTTGTATGAATTATATCATACTTAAAGTGTAATGTACATTATTACCTTGACAGAAGTTGTATGAATTATATCATACTTAAAGTGTAATGTACATTATTACCTTGACAGAAGTTGTATGAATTATATCATACTTAAAGTGTAATGTACATTATTACCTTGACAGAAGTTGTATGAATTATATCATACTTAAAGTGTAATGTACATTATTACCTTGACAATGTACATTATTACCTTGACAGAAGTTGTATGAATTATATCATACTTAAAGTGTAATGTACATTATTACCTTGACAGAAGTTGTATGAATTATATCATACTTAAAGTGTAATGTACATTATTACCTTGACAGAAGTTGTATGAATTATATCATACTTAAAGTGTAATGTACATTATTACCTTGACAGAAGTTGTATGAATTATATCATACTTAAAGTATAATGTACATTATTACATTGACTGTGTGTTATTCAACTGTAGATGAAGATTTCATTTTATTTTCTATTCTGTTTTTATGTGTTTTAGGTCAAGCTGGTCCATCTGATGTCATTCAGCATGGAATGTCCCAGGTTGTCGTGGAAACAGTAACTAAGACTAGTATAATGAGCAAGTTTAGTGCATTACCTAAGTTCCAGTCTGAAGCCAGTCGTGTTACCTGTGAAGGAAATGGTCTGAAGAAAGCTTTCAGAGGAAAACAAGCCACTTTTAATGTTGATGTTACAAATGGCGGTATGTTTAACTTTAACTTGTAATATAAGTAAAACATTGATATTAAAAAGGTAAACTAAATGTCAAATAAATTAAATACCCCCAGTAAATTATAACTATGTTATGCATAGCATTAAACAGAAATTCCTATATAAATAATTAACTGGTATTCATTCAGAAGTGAAACAATTTAATTTTAATCTGAACAAAACTAGAGATCTAATGAATGCTAGTTTGACTTGAGAATGTTTAGCTGGTAAAAACTGTTGCATTGGTTTGAGTTTGCAGTGTCTGAAATTACAAAAATTGTAATGTTGTACAGTAATAAGTTTTCTTGGAATATATAGGAAAACAAAATAAATGAGTATGAAAAAGTAGGGAAATGGAGATTTTTCAGGGATATTCTTTTATTGTATATCTAATAATACTAAGAAATTATTGCCAAAGTTTGTCACATGATAAGCATCTTATTATTAGAACTTTCATGATAAATTATTATAGCATTACTGTATGAAAAATTTAAATGATAAGCCAACAATATATAACATTGTGAAAATGATTTATATTTTAGGAAACAACATGATGTTTGTTGGTATGATGGGACCTAAAGGCCCATGTGAAGAACTTTGCGTCCATCATAAAGGAGGATATGTTTACAAAATTAATTACGTTGTTAAAGAACGTGGGGACTATATGTTAGTTGTAAAGTGGGGAGAAGAGCATATTCCAGGCAGTCCATTCTGTGTCCATTGTGAATAAACTGCAGTGTTCCCATCGCTGCATAGCTTTATAAGTATGAATGACGTGCTTGATAGTGACTTAAAAAGAGAACGAATATATGTTGAGGTGTATATGGGTGATGCTAAAACTCAGCTACAAAGATATAGTCACTGTTACCCCGTTTGTGTTTCATGAATTTCATTGTTAAGATTATTAAAAATTTATGTTATAAATGTTTGTTTCATCTTAGTTTATTTTTCGTCATAATAAAAAATCTACAAAAACAACGACTTACCTTTGCCATATTTCTCACTTTTATGATCAAATGAAAATGTCACAATTTTTATTATATTTTCAAAATAACAAATTTCTCTCTACAAAAATAAACTTGGATGAAACTTTTCATTGTTGAAGAGATGTAATATTTTTATGGTGCTTTTAATTTAATGTGTTTTTGTTACTATTTCTTTTGAGCAGTCTTTGCTTGCAACAATTTACTTTCAAGCATAATATAGTGAAAATAAAGACTACAAAGTCAATTAGTATTTGTCTATGATCAGCTTTTCCCATTAAAGCAAAGTTTTTCTAAGTAGAAATACTCTTGATATTGAAGAACAACAAAAAATAAAATTTTTGTCATTTTGTCTTTTAATATGTTATAAGATATACAGTATTTGTAGCAATTTTACTATTTTACAGATTTTCTAGGGTAATATTGTTATTGTATAGAGTGCTATATTGATATAGTCCAATAATCATGTAATTTTGAAATATATATTTACAATATGCAAAAAAAAAATGTTAAATATATTTTTGTTGGTTTTTCTATAAAAGTCATTCAAGCATTTCTTGAATTGTTTTTGTTATATGTGCAAATGTACATAAATGTATCTTCGACATCGGGAATGTTATTGTTTGAAATTTTTAACAAACCTTGTGATTAATTTTTACATAAATAAATTGCAATAAACATTTTAGTGTATTAAATTCACAGTGAAACCAGTTTTATCTAAACTTTAGAATTTTGGTTGCATGCATATTAAATAGTAAATAATAAGAACCAGTAAATATTGTTATAAATACGTAATTTAGAGATTAGGGCATTATAAAAAAAGTACATAGTTGTTATATATGTAGGTCATGCTATACATTTCTTGCCAAAAAATTACACAAAATTGATTAAATCAAGTATCGTGTAAGTTCAGATAAAAAAGGTTTCACTTTAGCTACAAATCAAATATATATGTTGTTTTTTGCACATTTATATATTATTTTTTTTCATTCATAATGAATCACCTCATTCAAAAGAATTGTATCCCCTTAGTAGGGTTTCCTTGCCAGTAGGTGGAGCTGATGCATAGATATGCGTCATATTTTACAGCTTATGTAGGCTTTTATACTAGCAGATAAATTTTATACAAGGCATTTGAAGGCATTTATAGCAATGTGTATGCTGACTTACAAAAAATAAAGTACAGTTAAACATCATTTGAGTTTTGTTTCTTATATGATATTGTACATGTTGAGTATTCATCTGTAACTTAACAAGAACAATAATGGGTCTGGACCGGCATCACTGCATGCAATTGATCGAGGTAACATGTATACCGGAGCAAAATTCATCATTCACTTCAAAAGGAGCCAACAAAACTGACGAAAATTTTCCTCATACAATGAGTGTTGTAAAATTTCAAACTATTGGTGAACAGGAAGTGGCTACACGACAGATGTAAAAGTTGATTTTTAGCTACAACTCAACATAATTAAGCTGCAGACCAAATATTAAATCATTCCTTTTCATAGAAGCCACATAAACTTTGATGAAGGACGAACAGACAGACGGGTTGAGTTTTAAAAAATAAGTAGTTTCAAACTGCCACATGATCATTTGCATGCACCAAGTCACGTTGGCTCTTGTTATACCTTAAAAGACATTATTATTATAATTTGGACTAAAATAAACCCTGCCAGACAGACATGTACACCTTACTTGTACCTCATTCCAATTACCAAATGTAATTGACCTATTGCTTATAGTATCTGAGAAACAGATCTAATGGCTAAACCTTTATATGTATTGACCAATAAACCATAATAATGAAGTCAACGTCAGATGTACTCTGCAGACAGACATATACTCATTAAAATCATTCCACACATCCAATATAGTTGACCTAATGCTTATAGTATCCAGAAACAGATCAAATGGCTAAACCTTTATATGTATTGACCAATAAACCATAATAATGAAGTCAACGTCAGATGTACTCTGCAGACAGACATATAAACTTTAAAATCATTCCACACATCCAATATAGTTGACCTAATGCTTATAGTATCCGAGAAACAGATCTAATGGCTAAACCTTTATATGTATTGACCAATAAACCATAATAATGAAGTCAACGTCAGATGTACTCTGCAGACAGACATATAAACTTTAAAATCATTCCACACATCCAATATAGTTGACCTAATGCTTATAGTATCTGAGAAACAGATCTAATGGCTAAACCTTTATATGTATTGACCAATAAACCATAATAATGAAGTCAACGTCAGATGTACTCTGCAGACAGACATATACTCATTAAAATCATTCCACACATCCAATATAGTTGACCTAATGCTTATAGTATCCGAGAAACAGATCAAATGGCTAAACCTTTATATGTATTGACCAATAAACCATAATAGTGAAGTCAACGTCAGATGTACTCTGCAGACAGACATATAAACTTTAAAATCATTCCACACATCCAAAATTAGCATTGCCCAAGGAACCATAAAAATGAGATCAATTTCAGATGAACATGTACAATTAACAATCATTCTATACATCAAGCAAAGTTGACCTACTGTTCAAGTAATGGTGAAAGAGACCTAACTCAATGTTGATCACTGATCCATGAAATGAGGTCAAGGTCATGTGGCAATGTCCATTATAATTTAGTTGTCCTATTGATTGTGATAACTTAACAATGAAATTGAGGATATCGACAACAAAAACATGCAAGATATGAAGTAACCAGGTATTCTGAGATATAAAGCTTTATACAAATAGTTTACACAGCCACTGCAAAATAAGCATCCCTATGTCTTGCATCCATTTCATGACATTTGGTTTACGGTGAGACAACTAGGTTTTATTAAGTGGTCATTGAACCACGAAAATGAGGTCAAAGACATGGAATATATACCAGATATAAATTATCCAGCTCTTTTTTTTCTGAAGCTGCTGTTGACATTGCTTAAGCATATATATGTCTTGCATTCTGCAACATTGATCCTAGGGGAGACAAAAGTGTACAATACCAAATTCTGTGTGCATGACACTTGTATTCATCTTAATTATATTGCTCAAGAGTTAAGTTTTGGAAGCCAATACATACAACATCTGGAAGCCTCAAAACCAAAAAAGGATTAGAATGGCCAAAAATTAATTTTAATACGTTAACATTATTTTTTCAACTGAACATTTACAATCACAATGTTTAATTTAAACAATGCAAGGACTGATGCACTGACTATTTGTTAAATGCATCACAATTACAAATTCTGTCATACATCCTTACATTGGAGGTATCAAAGGTATATAGATCAATAATAATAATAATAACAATCCTTCCTATTTTGTCATATGTTCAAACTGATAGGAAGACACTGTAGAAATAATAACCACAAAATCTAGTAAGATGAACAGTGCTAGATCTTTAGTGTAAGACAGCAAACTTTTTCAGATGTTTTCAGAATATTGCCAGTTACTGCTGATTCTAAAAAATCAATAAACAATAAAAACCAAAGACTATGTAACATTTAATGTTGACTGATAGGATGCTGAAGTGTCTATTTTTAGAACTTCTCTCAATGCCATGGTAGCATAACAAGATGATGGCAAGGTCATTTCTATCTTCAAAGCTTTAAACTGTCCATCTAAAATAGAAAATAGGAAAACATAATAATAATATAAGAAACATATAATAAAGCTACATGTATTTTGAGACTAAATATTGATTTTAGTAATTTGACTAGATGTATAGAAATTTATTTTGTGTAAAGTAAATTATACCCTATATTTACTTTTCCTAGTACATGGTTCTTTCTAGTTTGTTAATGATTTATAAACATCTGTAAAAAACTGACTTCTACTGTAATACTTATTATTTGAAACATTTATAAGAAAAATTAACTATTTCAGGTGACATTTGGTCAATTATAAAATAATTATATTCAAAACTCTTAAAAAGAGCATGATATAAAATTGAGAATGGAAATGGGGAATATATCAAAGAGACAACGAACCAACAAAAGAGCAGCATCTTTTGCAAATTGAAATTGTTGTATCCTTGGGCATATAAATATTGCATTAAATATGACTGTTTAAAGTCCAATAACTATCGAACAACTAATCAGAAAAATTTGCTAAATCAAATTATTCTAAATTCACCAATCCCAACAACAGTGTTGAGTTTGTTGTAATTTGATCAAAGCATACTAGAGCTAGTGCATGACATGTAAAAAATGTTGTTTATTAATCTGACAGTCAAAGTCCCATAACTCTGGAATGACAATTTGGGAAAATTTGAAAATTGAACACTGTTGTACCTTCAACAATTCCAAAAAATATGTAAAGTTTCCAGTAAACCAATCCAAGTATACTCAAGTGATGATGCAACATGTGAAAATTTTTATTAAATCTGACTGTTAAAGTCCCATATAAACTCAACTAAACCAGAAAATTTTCAAAATCAAAATGCAGCTTCCTTTTATCAATCCCATAATAGTGTTAAATTTTGAAGAAAGCAATCCAAGCTTTCTGGAGTATGTGAAAAATTGCCTTAAATCTGAGGGTTCAAGTCCTGTAACTCTGGAAGTTTTTGACACAACATTAGGATTGAAATTGAAAAAGAGCTTTCTTTAATTGGTTCAAGCAAATATGAGTTATCCTACGAAATGTTGACATATGGATGGACGAACGGATGGACGACAGATAGGCTACAGTATACCATAATGTCATGCCTAAGAATGACATATAATAAAAACAAATGACCTGAAGAAAGATGCCTTAAAGACCAAAGACTTCAAAATGTATAATACAAAATATTATCATTCTTTGGTCTATGATAGATAGTTGTCTCATTTGGCTATCATATAACATATCCTTATTTTTTATTTCTTTTAATACCTACCAAAGTTTAAACATGACAACATTTCAAATCTTACTGACAATCACGCAAAATTGACAAAAAAAAAAAAAAATTCGAAAAATAACATGTCTACACTAAAATATTACCTTGTTCAAACAAAGGCTCTGCTTTTTTCTGCAGTTTATCCAGATCACTCAAAGCTAATTCCACATTGACATCATTATATCTGTACAACTTCCACCCAACGTCACCAGGCTTGATCACTATTTTTCTATAGGCCCCAGGTAATGATAAAGATCTGAAAATAATCAAAAGGATATTTGTAGGGGGATATCATCTCTAAAGAAAGGATAAGACAAAGATCCATCATTATCATCTAAGATGGTACATAGAGTCAGTATATACATTCCAAGATGCAACAATTATTCCTATTCATATTTTCTCACATTTTTACAGTTCTTATGAGGAAAAAAGCAAATAAACTGGTAGCCATTTTGGAACTTGAAGGGGCCTCATAAAGAATTTGAATTAATATTTGTTTCCAGGTGACACAGAGAGTTGCTTTTGTCTTTGCAAACATGAGAAAGCTAACCCCATCTTGGATAACAGCTGATTATCTTCTTTGAGGGTCTTAAAGTGGGTATGTGCATAAACAAATAGGAAATAAAATGGTTGTCTAACCATGAACGAATAAGAAATAAGGTGAATAATCAGTTTCAAGCACAAAACCCTGTGAAATAAAAATTGCAAACACATTGCACAAAAATAACTCTTTACTACCTTCATCTTTAATAGAGGCTAAATGAAAATTATTCAGTTTGACAAAACAGATTAAAAGGAGATGACAATAGGAAAATTTCATTGCATCAGCTCACACAAAAAACCTAGTGACCTAACAATGAAGTTAACTTTGAAAGAACATCCTGAAAAATACAAAAATGTAATTGACTGTTGTAATTACTGTGTAACCTTCAATGATAAGTAGACTTGTAAAAAAATAACAACCATAAACAGTTCTGAACTGTACAATCAGAAAAGTGTTACATTTTGGGACAATTTTATTGACCTTGAAACCTGGAGTATCCATTCAGGCTGCAGAATATTTACTCCTATGGTTCTTCTGATATTTTCAGATGATTGGTCCTCAAATTATCAAAAAAAAATCCCAAAGACCAATTCCATAAAAGCAATGGTTCAACAGCTATATATATTCTAGACTTTGGCAAAAAGAGATAAGGTAAGGTTGACATGCAAATATCATGAAGTACTAGGAAATAACATTATATGACTGAAACATATCATGGAGTATTAGGAAATAACATTACATGACTGAAACATATCATGGAGTACTAGGAAATAACATTACATGACTGAAGCATATCATGGAGTACTAGGAAATAACATTATATGACTGAAACATATCATGGAGTATTAGGAAATAACATTACATGACTGAAACATATCATGGAGTACTAGGAAATAACATTACATGACTGAAGCATATCATGGAGTACTAGGAAATAACATTACATGACAGAAGCATATCATGGAGTATTAGGAAAAAACATTACATGACTGAAACATATCATGGAGTACTAGGAAATAACATTATATGACTGAAGCATATCATGGAGTACTAGGAAATAACATTACATGACTGAAACATATCATGGAGTATTAGGAAATAACATTATATGACTGAAACATATCATGGAGTACTAGGAAATAACATTACATGACTGAAGCATATCATGGAGTACTAGGAAATAACATTACATGACAGAAACATATCATGGAGTATTAGGAAATAACATTACATGACTGAAGCATATCCTAGGAAATAACATTACATGACAGAAACATATCATGGAGTATAAGGAAATAACATTATATGACTGAAACATATCATGGAGTACTAGGAAATAACATTACATGACTGAAGCATATCATGGAGTACTAGGAAATAACATTACATGACAGAAGCATATCATGGAGTATTAGGAAATAACATTACATGACTGAAACATATCCTAGGAAATAACATGACATGACTGAAGCATATCATGCAGTATTAGGAAATAACATTACATGACTGAAACATATCATGAAGTACTAGGAAATAACATTACATGACTGAAGCATATCCTAGGAAATAACATTACATGACTGAAGCATATCATGCAGTATTAGGAAATAACATTACATGACTGAAACATATCATGAAGTACTAGGAAATAACATTACATGACTGAAGCATATCCTAGGAAATAACATTACATGACTGAAGCATATCATGGAGTACTAGGAAATAACATTACATGACTGAAGCATATCATGGAGTATTAGGAAATAACATTACATGACTGAAACATATCCTAGGAAATAACATGACATGACTGAAGCATATCATGCAGTATTAGGAAATAACATTACATGACTGAAACATATCATGAAGTACTAGGAAATAACATTACATGACTGAAGCATATCCTAGAAAATAACATTACATGACTGAAGCATATCATGCAGTATTAGGAAATAACATTACATGACTGAAACATATCATGAAGTACTAGGAAATAACATTACATGACTGAAGCATATCCTAGGAAATAACATTACATGACTGAAGCATATCATGGAGTACTAGGAAATAACATTACATGACTGAAGCATATCATGCAGTACTAGGAAATAACATTACATGACTGAAACATATCATGAAGTACTAGGAAATAACATTACATGACTGAAGCATATCCTAGGAAATAACATTACATGACTGAAGCATATCATGGAGTACTAGGAAATAACATTACATGACTGAAACATATCATGGAGTACTAGGAAATAACATTATATGACTGAAACATATCATGGAGTACTAGGAAATAACATTATATGACTGAAGCATATTATGGAGTATTAGGAAATAACATTACATGACTGAAGCATATCATGGAGTATTAGGAAATAACATTACATGACTGAAACATATCATGGAGTACTAGGAAATAACATTACATGACAGAAGCATATCATGCAGTACTAGGAAAATAACATTACATGACTGAAGCATATCCTAGGAAATAACATTACATGACTGAAACATATCATGAAGTACTAGGAAATAACATTACATGACTGAAGCATACCCTAGGAAATAACATTACATGACTGAAGCATATCATGGAGTACTAGGAAATAACATTACATGACTGAAACATATCATGGAGTACTAGGAAATAACATTATATGACTGAAACATATCATGGAGTACTAGGAAATAACATTATATGACTGAAGCATATTATGGAGTATTAGGAAATAACATTACATGACTGAAGCATATCATGGAGTATTAGGAAATAACATTACATGACTGAAACATATCATGGAGTACTAGGAAATAACATTACATGACAGAAGCATATCATGCAGTACTAGGAAAATAACATTACATGACTGAA